GTCCTGGTATGTGGGACAGGAAATGTATTTCCTTATATGGTGTTTTTGGGGTGGTAATTATGTGAATAACGTCTCCTCGTGCACGAGCATCTGGATACGAACAGGTGTAATTCGTCATGTTTACGCAGCTCATTTACACACTTTTCCTGAAGATAGAAGAGTTTGTTGAATCTGACGTGGCATGTTCGTTCGAACCCTTTGTACGAACAAAAGTAAGAGAGATTTAGGATAAGTATACGAACATGTTCTTGCATGAGGCCCATTATTTTTAAGGTGGGACTAATTTACTCATAGGTTTTATATCTGTTCAAGTCGTTAGGAACACAGTATGATCACGCCCAAATGAAGGTATTAATTAATGCTTTTTTTTCTTTTCCTCAGCGTGAGCCAGCGTGTTGGCCAAAATTGCATGAGTTGTCCAAAATGTCATAGTGTGACAGGGCCCTAAGAGAAATCCAAAATTATTAAAAGCAAAGAAACAAACCAAATAAACTAACAATGTTTTTGGAGATACGACATGGCAGCAGGAAGGTTCTAGGTTTCTTGGCTTAAGCCCTGAGTTGAGCTTGGGGTCTTTCTGTATTGAGTTTGCACGTTCTCATGTTTGTGTGAGAGTTCTCGGAGTACTCTGATTTTTTATACAGTTCAAAAGCATATGTATTTAGGCTGCCTTCAGGCCTTACATGTTTTCATGTATTTGTCAAAGGGTTAACAGTGAGCAGTAAACAGACACGAGGCAGAATGCAAACAGGTAAGTGTTCTTTATTTACAGTGTTGGTGATTTGGATCCAGATCTAAAAAAGAGGGCAGCTGGTAAGTGTTTGCAGATAATAGGTTGGGGTTTCAGGATTTTGAAGGTGAATATTCAGTCTTAAAGGTTTCAGATGGAGGCTTTGCACAGAGGAGAGGGTAAAGTTCTTAAGCAGGTTAGAGCCAGCCACCTTAGGCAGGTGAGTTAGCTCTTTGTAGGCTCTCTCAGGGAGGCAGCAGCAGATCTTCAGGTGAGTAATCACAGGTGAGTTCTAAACGCTAGTGATGGGATGAACAATACTGGTGCGTCAGCACTGTGCCACACGCACAAGAGTGAAACCCTCTATTGGTGCGTGTATCGCTTTTAAAAAGTAAGGAAATTAAGTAAAGTAAAGTTTTATCTATATAGCACCTTTCACAGAAATAGATTCACAAGGTGCTGTACAATCGGAGGCAAATCAAAATACAGTATATACAATCAGAACAGGATATGCAAAAATTTGGAACAAAAACATATAAAAGCTTTACAACCATCAAAGTATCAAGACTGTGCAATCCAAAAAATAAAACAAGTAAATAATATTGTAGGAATTACTTCGTGAAATTAGGACCAGCCTATTTTCATAAATGTAATCCAGCAAGATCTTGCAGAAGGAAATCAGGAAATCATGAAATACCCCTCTGGTCATGAATGTGAAAAGAACTTGTGACCTGAACAGATTTCTC